AATGAAGCAGAACATGACGTAGAACAGGTACACGTGCAAAACGATCCCGGTCAGGACACCGACTACGTAATAATACTCTTCGCTGTCCACGATTTGGAAGGCGGAGCAGCCAAAGTATACAGGTGCCAGGATGATGTTGGAAATAAACCAGGTGCAGCAGGCTTTGATGCTTCGCTACAATTCAGAATAATTACAATACAATTACGTATTTATTATACTTATGATGGAGGTCTCCCAGCGGGTGCGATCCGAATTTTTAGCAAATTAGTGCCAATCGATCGCAATTTTAATTAGGATGAAATTTACGAAAGACACGACCTCCCAATGGGCACGTTTGGCAGAGATATTTGCATCCGAAGAGGAGAAAAATCGTAGTAAAATTTAGAAACTATGAAATTTTTCGACTTTTTTGCAGGTTTTCTCTTCTTTGGATGCAAATATCTCAAAGCAAATAAGAATTACAATTACGTATTTGCTATCAAATGTACCTACCTGTTCAAAAATTTAGTTTTAGGCCTTTTAAGATGGCCTTATAGATTTGTCAAGATGTCCGTCTGTCTGTCCGTCAGAGATTCGTGATTAATTAATCGTGATTAACGGATTAAGGATTGGGATTAAGGATTAATAATCCTTAATGCTTAATCCCAACAAAAAAATGGGTGAAATCAATCCTTAATCCTTAATCCCGACGAAATATTTTTGCTCCATTAATCCTTAATGCTTAATCCCGACGAAGCATGCCCAAATTATTAATCCTTAATCGTGATTAGGATTAATTCTCACGAGAGATTAATACTGCGAATGAGCAAGGTAACAGTTATTCTCAACCATGTGATATTTTTCCATTCTTTCTACTTTCCTCTCCTGAAATTATCTAGCATGCATTATATTTTTTAACTTTATATTGTTGCTTCCATAAAAGTACTGATTCAATCGTTAATCATGGCGAACAGGAATCTAACTGAACTGAAAGGTTTGCCATTCGTTTTGACCGGCACATTTTTTGATGTCGAAGAACTTGACAAGTCTTGTGGCTCTGTAAAGGCCAGGGGCATAGCTTGTGCACCAAAACTTGCCGTAATTGGCGGGGATATTATTCCAACATTGATTTTTATTACGTACTTAACGCAACATTACTATATATTGCACGTTTTGTAAGTATTTGAGATTTGACACATTAATATCGCTGTGTCGATAATTCTGTGCAGGAAAATAAAAATTATATTAATCCTTAATCATGAATTAATCAGGATTAATTAATCCTTAATCCTTAATCCCGAATTCAAAAGCATTGTGAATTAATCCTTAATCCTTAATCCCAGCAAATTGAATTATTTAATTAATCCTGGACTAATCTAATCCCGGAATAACATTAATCCTTAATCCTTAATCCCACAAAAAAATTCATTAATCACGGATCTCTGCTGTCCGTCCGTCTGTAGGCAGGATAACTCTCTTTAAACAAAAGCTATCGAGTTGAAATTTTGCATGCTTCATCTTCAGGTGAAAAGTAAGGATGAGTTCGGAGATGGACATGATCGGTCAAGTGGTTGGCCGGTGGGGGTCATTTCCACCCAAATGTGTTGCCATTAACTAACAAAATGGTATTAATGCTATCTTAAAAGGCCCCGCAAAGTTGCTTAGAGTAAGTTTTTATCCATAAGTCAGTCATTCCGATTTTTGAGCGAAGATTTTCATTCACATTCATATATCATTTTCGTTCAAATTCATTTTATTTCATTTCACTTCATCTGACTTCATTTCTTATTTCGCCCCATGTATTAAGCATAGGGTGAAAAATGAAACGAGTGAGAAATCATTTCATTCATAGTTATTCATCTGAAATGACTGAAATGAATCTTTCACTCATTTTCATTCAAATCATAGGAAATTCATTTACATTCACCATCATTCTCTATCATATTCAGTCACATGAATGAAAGTGAACAGGTATGGATGCAAATATCTCTGCCAGGAGATCGTGTCTTTCGCAAATTTCATCCTGATTAAATTTATCATCGACTGACACAAATTTTAGCAAGGGAAGAACGACGCTATGTAAAATATTTGGAGACACACTCACCTTTTTCACTCCGTTGAGTAGGACGACCGCTGTGATAAGCATGACGACGCAGATAACCCCCAAGGCCAAGAATGCATTCAGTTGTGTCAATCTGTCATGCTTGAAAAAGGCTAGAATCAAGTTTACCAAAGCTAAGATGGCATTGGTCATACGACAAAATATATCTTGGAATAGACTGTTTCTTTCGCGAGGATGCTTTTTGGACGTGGGAAAACAACTTTTGAACACTCATCCATGCCCACTCTCGTTCTGTTTTTCTCTCCTCTTGTTTACTCAAGTCGAATAATTATACTGGAGAATTAATTATAAATTATAACAAATGTTCCAAATAATTAATAAACTTCAACCTTCCTTCTTTAATTTATTATTTTGAACTGGTTCTTATTCTCTTCTGTAGTGATTGGGGAGTGAATTTTGTAAATTATTTTTGGTAAAATTGCATTATTACGGCCTAGCTCGGATTTATTTCAGTGGACTAGCTCGGATTTGGCTGATAATTTTTGTGTAAATACCTATTATGGTCCCCTGAGCAAGAAAATACTTTTTTTTGCGGCGGTCTCGAAAATTAAAATTTCTAGAAAGCTTCGAAATTTTGTATAAAAATTATTTTTTGCCTCAGATTTTCCTGAAAATGATTTTATAGACTAATTAAACTATGCTCAACAAGAATATGAAGGATTTTTTGAAAAACATTCAATAGTAAAAAAGTTATAAATTATTGAAATTTTGTATACAAATTTTTCTTGGATGTTCCAGAGAATTTCAAGACTTTGTCTCAGTTTCCCACACGATAGGAATATTTTGTGGTAAAATCAGATTTTCGGGGTAAGATGAGATTTCTAGTTTCCAGCACTCCTAGCTAGCTCTCCTAGGTACCACTACTAGCTAGCTCTCCCAGATAGCTCTCCTAGGTAGCACTACTAGCTAGCTCTCCTTTTTCAAAAGCCATTTTTATGAAAATCTAAGAGAAAAATTATTTTTATACAAAATTTCAAAAATTTTTAGAAATTTTATTTTTTGAAACCGCCGCGAAAAAAGGTATTTTTATGCATATGGGACTTTAGGGTATTCACACAAAAAATTTCAGTCAAATCCGAGCTAGGCCGCTGTACTGCAATTTTACCATAATTTCTATACCAAATTTCAAAAATTGACAACGTTTTTGTTTTTCGAGACCGCCGTGAAAAAATTGAAAACTTATTTCCGCTATTTTGATTAAATTATAACCCATAAAATGAATGATTTTCGTTCAGATCATTTGTTGTATTGTAATATGATGCACACTTTTCTGTGTGGACGTGCTCTGGTGCTAAGTGTGGAAAGGCCCGTGCACCGCACCAAGTTGAGGCAAGTTGAGCTATCTATCTAACAGAGCTACATTTCTTATCGTGTGGGCATTGGTCACCTGCAAATCAAAAACATACTTCAAGCTACTCATACTTTAAACAGGGATGGGCAATCCCAAGATTACGGATTACAGATTAATTTAATAAAAATTTTCTTCTAATTATGGGATTAGGATTGCTTTGTCTGGTCAACCCGAGTGAATTATTTACATTTTAGATTACTTTAAAATATTAGTTTGCTGGTTTAAGGATTACGGATTAATATAATCCGATTTAAGTAATCCATTAGGATTGCCCATCTCTTTTAAGATGGCATTAACTTGAAAATTTCAGGTCGCAAGCTTTGGTTTTAAAAGAGTTATCGTACAGACGGACGGACAGAAAGACAGACATCCTGACAAATCTATAAACGGCCTAAAAAGGTCAGGGTTTGGAGGAGAACGTGAGACTTGTTAAGGTTGAATTTTGACAATGTCCCCTCGGTTCCACCGGCAATGGCGAGGAGAATAATAAATCAATATTGAGATCACTGCTTCCGGTGGACACTTGCAAGAAATAGTGGGGAGAAAGTGGTTTCATACAGCTACAGATTTTGACCTGCAAGAAACCACGTCCCACCGCTGCAGTTCATACGGCGCGTATTTCTCCCACTTACTTTCACCTCACATTTCTTGCATTATTACAACGCAAGAGAAACGAACCACTGCTTGAGAAATGACTTACAATCAAAAGAATGGCCATCATCCGGGCGCCCTGGGACAACGTGGTACTAAAGGCCGAGCAAGGATTCTTCATTTCACGAGGAGGAGGACGATCAGCTTGGTCCATTTTGATGAGGGTAGAAATTTAGGCCGAAAAGTGGGTGTGGTTGGTGTGTGACACGAAAAATGGTGAGGAAGGAAATGACCCCAAGGGAAAGTTGGGTTTGTGATGAGTGCAACTTTCCGGGGTCACGGATTCCCAGTGGCGTTGGGCAGCTTAGTAATTTAGTAATTTCGTCAGACCTGGAGAAAATGGGGGTGTGCTCGTGAGTGATGTGACGAAAAATCGGGTAATTAGAGACTGCGTTGTTTGTTGGGGGTTTTTTGGCCCGATTGTTTGACTTTTGGTATCGTAGGAACTTTAGGATTGTAATTATTTTGGGAATACTTCATTGCAATTAATTACTTAATTATTAGCAGAATATTTACATACTTCTGATATTAATTAATTAATTAATTAATTGACATCTTCTTCGTAAGTACGTTGCATACAAAAATACGTAATTTTGTTCAACCCATTTGTAAAAATTTCCTTTAGTGTCTCATCCTCAGTGGTTGTTTCGACGGCTTTGACTTCCGGTTTGGGAAAATGGAAACTGTTCCAGATATTGTTATCTTAACGATATTGTTATCTTATTTCCAGATATTGTTATCTTAACGATGGATAAGTAGTTAACCTTGGCTTGTAAATAACTATAATTCGGATAGGTTATAAATAAACATGTGTAAATAAACTCGTTATTATTTAGTGTGGCAATAATTAGGGTAATTAATTTTAAACAGCCTACACATTTATCTATGTACGTCCGATACTTATTTATTAATTAACTGCCATCCTTTCTCGTACATCGTGCACTACAAAACTGTAATTTTGTCCGACCCACGGGTAAAAATGTATCCTTAATTTACTCCGAATTCGACACTTGTGCGGGTGTTGGCATTGTTCCCGTTCTGACTTCCGGTTTTTTGAGATTGTGCAAACAGTGCTTGTGAAGAGTTAACGTTCGAATTAGCGGGTTCTTCCGCGTCTTCGCCCTCAATCTCCGCCGGAATTCCGAGCGGGTACTGGCGGATTTCTTGAATGAAGCAGTACACGGCGTAGAGCAGGGTCACGTGCAGGAGGACCCAGAGGAGGACAATCATCATCCAGTAATACTTCCCGCTGTCCACGATTTGGTAAGTAGAGCAGCCAAAGTATGAAATGTCCAGGAAGATGTTGGAAATAAGCCAGGTTTTGCAGTGTCCGATTCTTCGCTAGAATTCAGAATAATTACAATTACAATTACGTATTTGTTATGCTTATGATGGAGGTCTCCCAGCGGATGCGATCCGATTTTGAGGAAATTAGTTTCAATCGATGACAAATTTAATTAGGATGAAATTTGTGAAAGACGCGATCTCCCAATGGGCACGTTTTGGCAGAGATATTTGCGTCCCAAGAGGCGAAAATGTGTTTTAAAATCGACAAATTTTACACTGTCCAAATTTACTGTTTTCTCCACTTGGGATTCAAATATCTCTGCCAAAACGTGCCCATTGGGAGATCGCGTCTTTCACAAATTGCATTCTAATTAATTTTGTGACCGATTTAAGACACTAATTTGGCCAAAATCGGCATTTTATCTATTTCCGGGACAAAGATAGAAATCGGACCTACGCTGTAAATTCACTCAATCTCATTTGGAGCCGGATACCTCAAATATTTCTAGACGGACAACTTTTTTCGCAGCAAGGGGGCACGACCCTATGAAAATATTTGGAAACACACTCACCTTGTTGACTCCGATGAGAAGGACGATATCCGTGATAAGCATGATGACGCAGATAATCGCGAGGACCAAGAATGCTATCGCTTGTGTGAGGACAGGCTTGAAAATTTGGGAGCCTAGAAATATGTATAGCAAAGCTAAGAGGGCATTGGTCACCTGCAAAAAAAAACAACTTTGAGATGGCATTATTTAAGCTGTGTTTTGAGAGAAAGTCAGAGAGATGGACGGACAGACAGACAGACAAATCTATGTTTTAGGCCATCTTTAAATGACAATGTGGAGAAACATTAGCGGCGGGGAGGACGTGGGGACAGTTTTGGGGGTTGGAGGACGTATTAATATTGAATTTTCGGGGCAAAAATGTACCCCTGGTTATATCGCCACTGGGGCCAATTATAATCGATTTTGAGATCGCTGCTTCCGGTGAAAGTAGAAACAATAACTTGCAAGAAATAGCGGGGAGAAAGTGGTTACTTGCAGCTAAATATTTTGACCAGCAAGAAATGCAAGGTGCAGGAAACACGTGGCTAGATGCCGCATATTTTGTGCAATTTCTTGCACCTCGCATGTCTTGCATTTCTCGTCTTGTAATGCAAGAAATTTAGCAAATCACCACCAAGAAATGGACCCCTGCTTGAGAAATGACTTACAATCAAGACAATGGCCGTTCCACGGACGCCATCGGACAACGTGGTACCAAAGCACACGCAAGGGTTCTTCGTTTCAGGAGGAGAAGGAGGAGGACGATCTTGAGATGGAGTAGGTTGGTCCATTTTGATGAGGGTAGAAATTTAGCCGAAAAAGTGGGTGTGGTTGATTAGTGGCTCGAAAAGCGACCCCGAGAGAAAGTTGGGTTTGTCGCGAGTGCAATTTTTCGGGGTCACGAGTTCCTCGTGGCGTAGGACATTTTACTAATTTTGTAATTTAGCCAGGGGTGGATAAACAGGGGGCGTGGTCGTGTTGAGACAAAAAATGGTGTAAATTCGTGAAAGTGATGAGTTGTTAGGTACCTTGTTTTTCTTTTGGAACAATTGTCTGACTTTTGGTATCGTAGGAACTCGAGGATTTTAATTAGTCTGGCAATACTTGGGTGGTAATTGGCGAAGTAAAATTATCTGGGTGGCGGAGGGAGCTTGTAATTAATTATGTAATTATTGGCAGCACACGTGCCTCCGATACTTAATAATTAATTAATTGACATCTTCTTTCGTAAGTACATTGCACTATACAAAATACGTAATTTTGTTTAACCCATCGCCTCATCGGTAACAAAAAATTCCTGTAAAGTTGGCGTCTCAGCGATTGTTTCGACGGCTTTGAGTTGACTTCCGGTTGCGGAGAACTGGAAACTGTTGCGGATATTATCTTTCCGATGGAAAAGTAGTTAACCTTGGCGTGTGAATAATTATAATTGGGATAGGTTATGAATAAATATGTAATTAAATGTGTAAATAAACCCCATTAACGTGGCAATAATTAGGGTAATTACATAGGTAATTGTTAGCAGCATACACATTTACATATTTACGTGCGATACTTATTTGTTTATTACTCAATTGACATCGTTTCTCGTGCACTTCGCAGTACAAAAATGTAATTTTGTTCAACCCACGGATAAAAATGCGGTTGATGAAGGTTCTGACGGCTTTGACTTCCGGTTACTGATATTGTTGCGAATTTTGCCCTTGTACCGCTGTTCCCGACGGTACCGGCGTTGTCCCCGTGTTGACTTCCGGTTGTTGCAAATTTTGTCCAAATTGTGGCGGATATTGCGGTTGTCCAAATGCTGATTGTTGATACTGTGGACAGTTAACATTTGCCTGGAAGTAGTTAACGTTCGGAAAAGCGGGTTGATTATGTAAATATGCAAATAAACTAACTTTAAATGTGACAACAATTAAGGCGCCCATTACAATTGGTTAATTATTAGAAATTTACATACGTCCGATACTTATTTATTTATTAATTTACATCGTTTCCCGACAAAAATGAAATTTTGAACCCTTAATTTACTGCGAATTTTGCCCTTGCATTGCTGTTCCCGATGGTACCGGCGTTGTCCCCGTGTTGACTTCGGGTTGTTGCGGATATTGCAAATTTTGCCCAGATTGCGCCGGATATTGCAAATTTTGTCCAAATTGCGGCGGATATTGCGGCTGTGCAAATGCTGATTGTTGATACTGTGGATAGTTAACATTGGCCTGGGAGTAGTTAACGGTTGGATAAGCGGGTTGATAGTAGGAGGGTTGTGGCGATATCATCATTCCTCCCCCGCCGCCGCCCGCCATCCCCGCCGGAATTCCGAGCGGGTAGAGACGAATTTCGTCGATGAAGCAGTTCACGACGTAGAGCAGGTACCAGGAAAGGATGATTCCGAGCAGAACGGCGACCAGCAGGTAGTACGTGTCCGTCTTCACGACAGCGTAAATGGAAGAGCCAAAGTGTAAAATGTCGTAGATTAAGGTGGCAATGAACCACGTGCGGCAGGCGGCGATGCTTCGCTACAATTTACAAGACATATATCTGTTCAAAAATTTAACTTTCAAAATTTTTTAGTTTTTTGCTTCGCTAGAATTTAGAATATTCGATTATTTTTAGTGTACTCTAAATAAAAATGAGTAAAATTTACTCAAGGTTGGGTAAAAAAAAGGAATGTTGGACAAATTTTCTACAAAATTGGACAAATTTTGCACAATTTTGCACAAATTTTGAGTGTGGTCATTCACGGTGTCTGGTTCTTGTATGGAAAACAGTGGCCGCGGAAGGGTGCGTGGGGACAGAGGGACAAAATCCCCACGGGTTTTCGACGTCCGCATCATCTTATATACATAAACCCCTTCCTCCCCTATCCTACAATTTTGACATCCCCCCAGATGTCCCCACGGCTTCCGCGGCCACTGTATGTACATGCCTCGTAATGATAAAAATGTCAGAAGGACAAGTGGCCGCGGAACAGAGGGACAATGTCCCCACGGATGTTCGATGTCCGCGTTATCTGTCCATCTTAAATACATAAACCCCTATCCCACAATGTTAATGTCCCCACAGCTTCCGCGGCCACTGATAGAAAATAGTATCGTGGACTGGACAAAGAATGGGGAAAAAAATTTGTCTATTTGCAACCCGACAACTTTTTTTTGCGGGGAGAGGGAGCGATACTCTATTTAAAAAAAATAATTTTGAAACACTCACATTGTTCACTCCGGTGAGAAGGATGATCGCTGTGATAAGCATGAAGATGCAAATTATCCCCATGATCACGTGGGGTGCGCGTTCTTCGGGGGACAACTCCCTCTTGGCGAAAACCCCCATGGCCTGCACTACGGATCCCAAGCTCCAAGGGTGGAGATCACCTGCAAATAAAAAATTGACCATTGGGAGGCTGTAAAGGTATTGATTTGGAAATTATTAAGCATGACGGGTTTGATTTGAATTTCACCCCGCTCGCAATGTTAATCAAGTGGTCACGTCTTAGAAATTCCATCCCGCTTAAATATTTAATTTGGATTATGGGGGTGGAGATGGGACTTGTTTACATGGATAAGATACGATTTTGCTGAATTTTGGGCTGCCAATGGGGAAAAATAAGTAACCATCTTTTTGGAAATAACGGTGGAAAAGCGGTTTCTTGCAGGTAAATAGTTTGACCTGGAAGACATGCAAGGCGCAAGAAACGACGCCCCGTCGCGGTGGCGGTACTTCTGAACTGCGCACATTTCTCGCACTTTCTTGCACCTCGTATTTCTTGCCTGGTTTGTTTGATTTCCATTTCAAGAAGTGTAGCAATGTACCCATTTTTCTGAAACTTTTTTGCGAAATGACTTACAATCAAGAAAATGGCGAGCCCCCGGACGCCCTCGGTCAACGTGCTACAACAGCACGAGCAGGGATTCTTCGTTGCAGGAGGAAAAGCTTGAGAAGGATGAGGTCCAGGGGGTGGTTGGTACATTTTGAGGGTGGAAATTTAGGTCCAAAAAGTGGGTGTGGTTGGTTGGTTAGTGAGAAAAAAATGTGTGGAAGGAAATGCCCCCGAGAGAAAGTTGGGTTTGTGGTGAGTGCAATTTTTTGGCGTCACGGATTCCTCGTGGCGTCAGTCATTTTCGTAATTTAGTCATGAGTGGATATAAAGTGGGTGTGGTCGTGGTGTGACAAAAAATGTCCGTAAATTACGGAGAGTGAAAGTTATTTTTTGACACGGGAAGTTTTTTGATACCGTATTTTTTATTAGAATGATTGCTTGAATTTTGGTATCGTAGAAACGGTAGGATTCCCTTCATGAACGTTCAAAAAACACGGAGTGGAGTGGAATGGGAATGCCGTTGGGATATAGGGGTCAATTTGCGCCACGTTTTAAAAAGGGGGGAAACCTAAGGGGGGGGAGGGGTAAAAATGTTGCCAATTTTGTGTTGCGTTCCCAATGTGAGCGTTGCCTGATTAAATTCCCAAGAATCGTATAATTTTTCTTGGGCGAGTGTCATTCAGGGTCACATATTATCAAACAGCTCGATCTGACGTTAATTATTGTCAAATAAGTAGTATCAAATTTTCAGATTTTCAGATTTTCATAAAGTAATTATGCATAGTAATGCAAACCAGGGGCAAATTAGAGGATGACTCTCACGGGTTTTTTGAAATCACTTTGAATAATTTGGTATGAAATATATTTCGGATTTTTATGAACTCGAATTCTCAAAAAATACACGAAGGACACGACAGATCTACTTTTGCATAAAAAATTAGGGTAAAAACAACCTGGATGAAATTTTGCGTGCGAAAATTGGGGAACAATTCAGATGCCACGCCACCTTTGCAAATTATCTAAAAATGTAATAAGTAAAATGGAATTTCGAAATTTTTCTAAAATAATAGTGAAATAGTAGAAATTAAAAAAAGACTTGCTGCTATATTGCAGCTTTTATTAATATTTTCGTCATTTACATATATACTTAAATACTTACTAATCATTCGAGTGTCATTTTTGCTTCCAAACTTGTCATCTTTTTAAAAATATTTTAAATGTCCGTCCACGGTCTTCCATCTTGAAAAATCTAGCCTTCCGATGATTCCTCGTCTAGTTGTGAACTTTGAAGGTCGAGATTTTGAGGTGGCGTCGGCCTTGCTTTGGCCTGCGGGAAATTCGGCGGCTCGTTTGGCGGTGGGTTAGTAGGATTCGGTGCCGCGTTGGGCGGCGGGTAATTAGGATTCGGTGCCGCGTTGGGCGGCGGGTAATTAGGATTCGGTGTCGGGTTGGGCGGCGGGTAATTGGGATTCGGCGTCGCGTTGGGAGGCGGGTAATTAGGATTGGGCGTCGGGTTGGGCGGCGGGTAATTAGGATTCGGCGTCGCGTTGGGCGGCGGGTAATTAGGATTCGGATTGGCGTTGGGCGGCGGGTAATTAAGATTCGGATTAGGGTTGGGTGGCGGGTAATTAGGATTCGGATTGGCGTTGGGCGGCGGGTAATTAGGATTCGGCGTCGCGTTGGGCGGCGGGTAATTAGGATTCGGATTGGCGTTGGGCGGCGGGTAATTAAGATTCGGATTAGGGTTGGGTGGCGGGTAATTAGGATTCGGATTGGCGTTGGGCGGCGGGTAATTAGGATTCGGCGTCGCGTTGGGAGGCGGGTAATTAGGGTTCGGCGTGGTGTTGGGCGGTGGGTAAGTAGGATTCGGCGGCGGGTAATTAGGATTCGGTGTCGCATTTGGTGACGCGTAAGTAGGATTCGGTGTCGCGTTGGGCGGCGCGTAATTAGGATTCGGCGGCGGATAATTAGGATTTGGCGACGCGTTGGGCGACGGGTAATTATAGTTCGGCGGCGCGGTAGCCTGTGTGTAATTTTAATTCGGCGGCGCGGTAGCCTGTGCGTAATTATAATTCGGCGTCGCGGTGGTTTGCAGGTAATTCGGAGATGTGTTGGCCTGTGCGTAATTATAATTTGGTGTCGCGGTCGGATAATTATAATTCGGCGCCGCCGTGGCCTGTGGGTAATTATAATTCGGCGCCGCCGTAGCCTGTGGGTAATTGTAATTCGGCGTCGCAGGAGTTTGTGGATAATTATAATTCGGCGTCGCGTTGACCTGTCCATAATTCGGCGTCGCGTTGACCTGTCCATAATTCGGCGCCACATTAGTCTGCGAGTAATTATAATTCGGATACGCCTGTTGATAGAAGGACTGCTGCGAAGGCTGCGGCATCATTCCACCCGTGCCTACGCCCGCCGCGCCCGCGCCCGCCGCGCCTACTCCCTTCTGATTCTGCCTGAGTTCTTGGACGAAGCAGTAGACGACGTAAGGCGGGTAGAACGTGAGCACGACCCCGATCAAGATAGGAATTGCCTTATAATATTCTTTGTAATTCACCATTTCTATGATTGAATAGCCGATGAACGCAACGCCGATGAGGACGTTGACCACCACCCACATCTGGCAGACTCCGATGCTTTTCTAGAAGGCAGAATAATTATTTAGTCATTTGGCTGCAGGCATACCTGTTCACTTTCATTCATTTGAGCGATGGCGAATGGTAATTAATTTCCTGCGATTTGAATGGAAATGATTGAAAGATTCCGTCATTTCAGATGAATGACTATGAATGAAGGGATTTTTCACTCATTCCATTTTTCACCCTATGGTTAATACATGGGGCGAAGTAGGAAATGAAGTCGGATGAAGTGAAGTGAAATGAAATGAATTTGAAAGAAAATGACTGAATGTGAATGAAAATCTTCACTCACAAATCGGGATGACTGACTTTTGAATGAAAACTAAATTTTTGAACAGGCATGATATTAACCTGTCCCTCCCCTATCCTACAATGTGAATATCCCTACGGCTTCCGGGGCCACTGATCACATATTTTGAAAAATGTGTCATATTTCAAATTAAAAGGTGGATTTATGTACTAATATTTCCAAACCTGTAAGTAAGTTTTGCATGAAAAGTGACGCTACATTTGTGAAATATTTACAAACTCACACTGCCACACGCGAGGAGGATGATTGACGAGATGAAAATGATGCCAAAAGCGGCGGCCGAAGAGATCTCGTAAATCTGATTAGCGCGTGGGTTCACGGGCTCTTCTGGTCGGGGGATCAACTCCGCGGCTGTCAATCCATCTCCTAGACAGGCAAGGCCAAAGAGCACCTGAAAATAAAAAATAATAAAATACGCTAAAAATAGAGGTCTGCGATCCGATTTTGAGGAAATTGATGTCAATCGATCCAGTGTTTGGTAATTTTTGCTAATTTTTTTTGCACAGAAAAGTAAGAAATGCGAGGTGCAAGAAACTGCAAGAAATATGGTTACGCGCTGTAGTATAGCGATACCTGTTCACTTTCATTCATGTGATTTATTATGATAGTGAATGAAAATGAATTTCCTATGATTTGAATGAAAATGAGTGAAAGGTTTCCACATTTCAGATGAATGACTGTGAATGAAAGGATTTCTCACTCATTTCATTTTTCACCCTGTGCTTAATACATGAAGCAAAGTAAGAAATAAAGTCCGATGAAGTAAAATGAAATGAGTTTGAAAGAAAATGTTCAGTCAGAAATCGGGATGACTGAACTTTGAATAAAAGGTTTAAATAAATAAAAGGAACAAAGGTTTTTTGAACAGGTATGAGTATAGCGGCGCGGCGCAGTTTCTTTCGCCAAGGATTTCTTGTTGGGGAAAATAGTTGCAAAAAAAACACTTTCTTGCCATTATTTCTTCCACCGGAACACTGAATCGTTCGCAAATTTAAGTTGGATAAAATTTGCGAAAGATACGACCTTCTAATTGTCACGTTTCGCCGAGATATTTGCATCCCAAGAGGAGAAAACGTGCCTTAAAGTCGACAAATTTGACACTTTCCCAATTTACTGGGCGTTTTCTCCTCTTTGGATGCAAATATCTCTGCCAAACGTGCCCATTGGGAGATCGCTTCTTTCGCAAATTTCATCCTAATTAAATTTGCGATCGATTGAGACTAATTTCCTCAAAATCGTAGAGCATATGGTGGCAGACAGCTATTGTCCTTTGATAAATATCTGTAAATCCAGGGGCGAGGGGGAAATTTATAAATATTGAGGAATAAATTACAATAAACGTAATTGCGATGGCTTGGACGGCACTGGATAACTTGCTGCAACAGCACGAGCAGGGATTCGTGACAGCAGGAGCTTGAGAAGGACCTTGAGGGGGATAACCTTGACCTTGGGGGGCAGGAGGATAACCTTGAGGACGACCTTGAGGGGGAGGTTGATACATTTCAAGGAAAGAATTTATGAACCACCCGGGACGGAAAAGTTGTGGTGAGGGTGTGGTCATGCAAAAAATGTGGTTTTGGAGTTTATTGGAGTAATTTTTATTGTTTGTTTGGCTGGAATGAAATTGTTACCAAATCAACAAGCCGCGGATACGTGGGGACATAATCTATTTAAGATTTTGAAAATTACGGGGTAGAAATTTCGTCCACGTGGAATATTTCCCCACAGTGATCGATGGTCACCCTCCGAGACAAAAATGATGCTCGAGATTCTAAGACGCTACCTTGGTTTATGGAGGTTTGTGAATTTATACAGTGGCCGCGGAAGCTGTGGGGACATTTGGGGACGCTAACATTGTAGGATAGGGACTGGTTTGTATAACATGGGCAGCTGATAGGGACATCGAACAACCATAGGAACATTGTCCCTCTGTCCCCACCCACACTTCCGCGGCCAGTCCATTTAGACCTATTTTTGTGGAGGCGACATGGCATCATGCGACAAGGTTTACAAAAAATGAGTAAAACTAGCTGAAATTCCGCATGGATAAATTGATGCACAATTCATATTATCTATGTATGTCACGTTTGTAAAATAGTGGTCAGAGCGTTTCTAAAAAATATGAATAAATATGTAAAGAACACAAATTTTCGAAATTATGTATAAATAAATATTACTAAAATAAAGATAACACAGTAGGAATTTAAAAAATCGAGTGGCTGTTATTCTAAAACGTTTATTATTATTTTCGTCATTATATTTACTCACTAATCAATTAGTTATCATTTTATTTGCAAAAATGTCATCACTTAAAAATATTTCGAATGAAAAATCAGAAAAATTCAGAAAAATCTAGCCCCCCGAAGTCGCCACGTCTTGCTGCGCCTGGTACGAACTTTGATACGTGACACTGTACCCCG